GGGGGGGGGGGGGGGGGAGAGGCCGTGGCAGCGGGGAGAGGCTGGTTGGGGGTCTGGGGTGCTCGGCCGAGGCCCTGAGGTGGCCGCCGGAGGGGTCTCGGAGGGGCCCGGGGATGCTGAGGGCGGTGGAGGACCCTGCCATGGTGCTGGGGGACTGAGGGGGTCAGCGGGGATGAGGCCTGCGCCGTGGCACTTGGGGTACAGCGTGGGCGAGAGCCTTGCCCGGGGTCCATGATGTGGCCCTCAGGTGGTCACCGTGGCTGGGGTCTTTGAAGCACTTGCTGGGGCCAAGGTATTCACCATGGGACCTTGAGGTGTTCACCATGGCCAAGGCCTTCGCCAAGGTCTTCACCATGGCTCTGAGGCACTCATCAGACCTTCAGGTGTTCACTGTAGCCAAGACCTTCGCCAAGGTCTTCTCCATGGCCCGAGGGCCCTTACTGGGACCTTGAGGTGGTCACCATGGCCAAGGTCTTCGCCATGGCCTTGAGGCCCATGTCACGGTCTTGGTCTTTGCTATGGCCTGAAGGCTGTTGTGAGATCTTGAAGTGTTCGTCATGGCCAAGGATTTCACCATGGCCTTGAAGCACTCGCCATGGCCCTGAGGTTCTCACTGGGAGCTTGAGGTGTTCACCGTGACAAAGGCCTTTGCCATCACCTTGAAGCACTTGCCGTGGTCTTTGCCATGGCTCCAAGATCCTCAGTGGAGCTTGAGCTTTCACCATGGCTAAAGCCTTTGCCAAGGTCTTCATCACAGGCTCGAAGTGCTCACCATGGCCAAGATCTTCCCTAACATCTTCGCCTTGGCCTTGAGGTGCTTGCCATGGCCAAGGACTTTGCCATGGCCCAAGGTCCTCACCAGGAACCTGAGGTGCTCCCTGGGGCCCCAAGGGTCTCACCATGGCCACAACCCTTGCCAAGGCCTGCATCGTGGCCAGGGTCTTCACCATGGCCTTGAGATGCTCACCATGGCCAAGACCCTCACTGTGGTGCTCACTGTGGCCCAGAGGTGATGGCTGTAGCCCTGAAGTTGCCGCTGTGGCCCCCGGGGTACTCGCCGTGCAACCAGAGGCGCTCCCCATCGTTGCCAATGTGGCCAGGAGGCCCTCGCTGTGGCTTTGAGGTGCTCCCCATCACCCTCAGCCTGGCCCAGAGGCACTCGCCATGGCCCCGAGGTGCGTGCCATGGCCCCAGTGGGCTCACCGTGACCACCACCCTCTCCGCGGCCCCCATGGTAGCTGGCTGGGGGTCCCCGGGTGCCTCTGGTTGGAGAAGGCCGGGGCCCCTCGCCGTCAGCCGGCGCTGCCACCACCCACCGCTGCCCTTTCCTTTTCTCCCCTCCCAGGTGCTCTCGAGCCGGGGCGAGGGGATGAGGTGCCCCCCTGCCGCGTGGTGTGCCGAAGCGGCTCTTTAGATCCTCCCCGGCCCAAGCCTCCCCTGCCATGGATGCCTCGGGGGCTCTTGCTTCGGCTCCCTCCTCCGCGGCTCCCTCGGGCTCCCGCAGCCCCATGTTCCCCCCAGGAGCTGACAGAGAGGAGTGGGGACCGAGGTTCAATTGTGCCCCTTCCACCTCTGCCGCAGCCTCGCAGGCGATGCCAGCGTCTGGCCGGAAGAGGAAGGCCAACTTCTCCAATGACGAGACTGAGACGCTGGTCTGGAATGTGGTGCGGCATTTCAGCGCCCTGTATGGGTCTGAGGCCCTGCGGGCTCACCCCGTGCGGCGGAAGCAGCTCTGGACCCAAATCCAAAGCCGCGTCAACTTCCTGGGCTACACCGAGCGCTCCATCGACGACCTCAAGCACAAGTGGCGCGACCTGCGGCTGGACGTCAAGAAAAAGATCACCTCCAAGAAGCACCTGCCCATGAACCGGGCCGGCGGGCCGCTCCACAAGCCGCGCCTCACGCCCCTGGAGAAGATGGTGGCTTCCACCTTCTTGCAGGCCAGCCACGACTCGGAACCCGAAATCATCTTGGACCCAGGTCAGTCGCGGTGGTTCTCTGGGAGAGTTTGGAGTGGCGGAGTCCCCCTGCTGCCGTGTGTCCCCCACCTGCCCTCTCCGAGTGATGCCCGGCCTGGTCCTGTCACCGGGCTGTGGGTTTTTCCCCCCGATCTGCGGGGTCTGCCAAGCGCTCGTGGTCTGTGGGAGCCATCGTGGCGTGGATCATGGAAGGAGACGTCGGGGTTTGGCTCTCCTGCGTGGTTTCTCTTGGGATCGCAGCGCCGTGGTCCTGTCCTACCTGAGTAGTAAAACCACCAGGGTTGGAAACTGCGTGCGCTGGAATATAAAATCCACCGTGGAAATAACCCGGGATCAACGGGAACACCTCAGACTTTGTGAGAGCGGGTCTTTTTGGTGGTTTGGGGTTTTTTTTCCTTACTTTCTCTGGATTTGATCTAGTGCCTGGCCTTCCTGGATACCATCTAAAGGCAGCCGGTAAAAGACGGGATGGGATGTTATTTCCCCCGTTCCTTTCGGGGTCCCTGTCCCCCCTGGTTCGCTGAGGTCAGGGGGAGCAGGAGCAGCTGCCTCAGGGGAAATCCCACTGTGGGGTCTCACACCCGGGTGCCTTGCATGGCCGGGGAGAGCTGGAGGGTCCCTGCACGGGTCGTGCCTTCCTGATGGAGCTGTGTCTTTGACCCCTGTGGAGCAAACCTGGGTCTCAGCCTCCCACAGAGCCCTCCTGCTGGTCCTGCTCTTGGCTAACGCCTCTTCGGCTCAAATGCCCCAGAGATGCTTGGGGGGAAGATGTTGGCATAAGACCCAACATAGGTCAGGCCCATGGGTACACCCCAGCTGGGCTTTGTTACCCAATATTCCCCTTTTGCCCTTTAATTTCCACAAAGGGAATGTGTCTGGCTTCATCGTGTCCCCAGAGGACACCAGGGAGAGTTGTTCCTGCTCCTTCCTTTGCTCTTTGATTTCGGCTGGGTCCATCAGGTCTCCTTGGGGACGGGTGGGCGATGTGGGTCTCGTTTCACTCGGTTCAGGCTCCGGGTTGTCTCTGAACCAGACGCCCCTCTTGCTGTGGAGCAGAAGGACTGTGGGCTGGAGGAAGGATTCCTTGTGGGATGCTTAGGGGATGCCAATCCTCTCGGGGCTGAGCGACTTCAGGATGGTCCTGGGTGGGGGGCTGAGGGTGAGCGATCAGGCCTCACAGGAGGAGTGTCTGCGCCTCAGTGCACCCGTGTCCCCCCCACACAGCATCGTTCCCCTCCAGAGCCCCATGGGACCCCTCTGGGGAGCCCTGGCCACCCTTCCCCAGGGGCACGTGAGCCACCGGTGCCGTTACCGCCGTGGCTGAGGCTGGATATTCTCTCCGTGTCCTGCAGATCTGTTCTTCCCCGGCGCGACCAAACAGTCCTTCATGCACCTGCAGCCCGGCGTCAGCCACCCCAGCATCTACATCGACACCAACGGGCAGCCCTCCTCCCTGCCCGACGTGGAGGGCTCGGCCGTGCCCCGGCTGGCGGTGCAGAGCCCCGACCCCTCCGTCGTCTGCGAGTACAGCCGAGGGGAAGGGCAGAGCAGTTCGGGTAAGGCTGCGGCGGAGGAGGATGGATGGATGGATGGATGGATGGATGGATGGATGGATGAGAGGTCTCCTGGGAGCGTGGCAGCCAAAAGGTTGTGGTGGTGGGTTTGCACCGAGACCCTGGTCCCAGCAGGGCTGGGTGCAGCCCTGGGCACAGCATTGGGGGTGGCACTGTGGGGGACCCCCCGATCAGAGATGCTTCCCTGGAGTCCTGAAGGGCTGCGGGTGCGTCAGGGGGAACCCAGAGCAGGGTTTTGTGAAGGGTTGTTTGGTGGCAGAAGGTGGCAAACCCAAGGGAAGGCAAAGGCTGTGGCTGTCCCTGTGTCACACAGGGGCAGGGGGGACTCGCTGGGGGGGTCCAAGGGGGCATGAGGCAGGGAGGGGCGAGGGCTGCACAGACAGGGCACGTTGGCCTGCTGTGCCCCCCCGTGAGGGGGACATTGTGTGTTGGGGAGGGACCGGGGACCAGGACGGTGGCTGGGACTCACCGGAGGGCTTCTCTTCTCTTCCAGCCGAGTCGGGACCGGAGCTACGGACCCCGGACATGTCAGCCATATCCCCGTCCCTGCGAAACGAGTCCCTCGTCTCCTACGCCTCCATGTCGGAGGAGGAGGAACGGGAAGGCCGGGAGGTGGAGAGGGGCCACGGCGGGGCCGTGGGGATGCAGCCGGGGCCCGAGGCCCCCATGTCCGCTGAGGAAGACGTAAAACTGTCCCGCCAGGCCATGCTCATCCGCCGCTGCAGCTCCCAGGGCTCCGTCACCTCCCTGCCCGAGGACCCTCTCAACCCCGTGGACGCTCACTCGGACTGGGGACACGAGGGGGTGTCCGACCTGCCCCCCCTGGGCCGCGGCCTCGACTCCTCGCACCCCGAGGAGCAAGCGGGGGGTCCCGGCCCGGAGATGGGCGCTTTACCCAGGGTACTGATGGGTCCCACCTGGGAGAAGCCGACGGCGGAGGAGGAGCCCCCGGCCCGCTCCCCGCTTCACGGCGCCCTGACCGAGGAATCGCTGCCCTCCTCCGCATCCCCCCCGGGGGATGCCCCCGCCGCCC